TGAGGAAGTCTCATTTTAGCATAATGCACAGTTTGTTTTTTTGTTATTTTATACCCTAAAAAGTATAAATAAAGAGCCTGCCAAAATAAACACATAGGATATGAGATCTATCAGAACTTCATGGGTGGAAGGAATTGAGTTGCGTGTCATTTGTAGAATAAAAGTGACCTCAGAGAATCTATTTTTTCTTTAGTAAAATAAATAAATAAATCAAAGAACGACACCACCATGCTCTTTACAGAATTTGTATTTTTCCACATGATCGCACAGCTTGGAAAAAGAGCTCAGTCTACTCCCTTGCTCTGCACACTGCACCGAGTATTTTTCCTGCTCGCCTCCTACACTGTCCTACGACCAAAAAGACCAACAGAGCTCCCTCCTGCAAACCCTCTTCATCCAAAATCCAACTCACACTTTTATACTTTCTATTTTCAATACAGTCTCTCTGCCCAATACATAAAGGTCGCACCAAGAAGAGGGATTCACTTTTTTCTGTATCTCTAGACCTTCTCAACAGAAGCAGAGTTTATCACCTTGGCTCAAGAACAGCACATCTGAGAACACACTTGTACAAAACAGGCAGTCTTGAACCAAATGAAATTCCGTAACCTTTGCCTTCTACAGCTTTCTGGTAACACTATGCCTTAAAAACAGAGTGGTGCTTTCTTGCCTGCAATGTTGTTTTTTCCATTTCAACAAGAGCTACTAGAAGCCGTTCAGAATTTTGGCACCAACAGTGAGGCCACACGAAGAAAGTAACACATAAAATCATTTTCCCCAGAAAAAAATACTCATCCATCTTGGTGAAGTTCTTCAAACTCCTGTTTTGAGAAGCAACAATAATGGTCAGATGTGGTACTGAGCTCACCCATAAGGACTATCAGCAAATTTAACACATTTGAGGCTTTTAAAACAAGAGCTGATTCTCTCCCTTTCTCCACCTTTCTCTTTCTCCTCACCCCATTTAAACGGATCACTTAATCACAGAACTTTAACTTTTTATTTCTGGATCTATTGAGTTTTTTTAATTTAATTCTATTTCAATAACCAGCATAGGCTTCAAGCTCACATAAAAGAGGCACTTAAATAAAATCACCTAGTTGAAAATATGCCAAAAGAGTTAATTGTTCATACAGCACTTAGACATTATCTGTGGTGAGCACTGCAGAAACAAAATGCTGCTAAAAACTTAACAGCATAAGGAGGGAAACCAGGTCAGCTCCACACAAAGAGAAGAGGCAATGATTTCGGTTGTACGCGTCACAAAACTGTTGCAAACTTGGGAGTGCAATAATTCTGATAACTGATAAATGTGCCAGTAAGAGTCTTATATGCCTAAATTTGAAATGATCAAGGCTAATAAATAAAAGGGAATCATTAAAGTATCAAAAAAAATATATTTTTTTTCATACATCAAGTCTACTAACTCAGCTCTTGACCAGCACAAAATAAATACATCTTGATTTTTTTTAAATAACAAGGAGGAACATTTGGACATACAGACAAGATTGGTTTTGCAAGTCCAAAACATGAGATGTCTCACCAACACTAAGAACTAGAAGGCTTGTTTATTTAAGAAAAAATTAAATGACCATTGTACACTGCATGAGGCCAGTACAATTTTTCCAGGGAAAACAAAGAGGGAAAACATATATACTGCAAGACAAAAGTTTCAGAAAGCAAACTGAATTCAGGATTTTTATTATAAAAGGTTGTTAAAGCAAAGAATAACAGTTTTATTACTGATTTATTTTTTTTTTTAACTAGAAAAATTCACCCACTGGAGAGAGCACCACAGCAGGGACTTCAAATAATTGTACTTCTGTTCTTGGCCCTGATACTGACAAAATCTAAGTCTTCGGTCAGATCATTACAGCTTCCTTAGACATAAAGCATACTTAACACTACTGCTTGGCAAAGAAACAATTTCTAGCTGTTATGTATTACTATTAGAATAAAGGGAACATAGTTAGGCTGCAAAGCAATTCCTTAAACTGCTGGTTGGAAGGTACAACTCTTTTAACAGCTACAGAATTATACTTTCAGAAACTTTAATTGGTCATACCTGAAACTTTTCCTTCATAAACTTTGAAATTATTACGCTTATCTTTTGTTGGTTCTCCAAATATGAATTTGAAAAGAAGCAGTGTTAAAATGAAAGGTAATCAAGATAGAATGTTGGTAAACTTAAGCAAAAAGGTTTTAACTTAATGCAAGGTTTATAAAATCTTTTCCTGTTCCAGTTTTACCTCAAAGTATTTCTTTTTGTACAAACTCTTGCTTATGATCCCCAAAAGCTAACCAACAATATAGTGCAAGCAATGATGATTCTAAACAATTTAATAGGCAAAGAAATAACTTTTATAAAACTATGTTTTTTTCCAACACACATTTGATGGAATTGACCCAGGTACTTTGTGTCACCGAAGCAGGAATTATCACACAAAAACACACCTGTACCATTAGCACGTTAGACAAGTCTTAATATCAAACAGAATACACAGAAGTGAAAAAACAACCAGTAGTACCTGTAAGCTTAATTTTGGACAAACGTGCCAAAATTCCTGGCAAATCATCCAGCCGTAGCTTCATTTCTTTCCATTGTCTTTCTTCTTTGGATTCTGCTCTTAGTGGTGTGGCTGAGCCTCCAATTTCCGCAGCTAACTTCGTTTCTCTCAGCTCATTTATGTTTGATGTCTTAGACAAAGGTTGATGAACAGGAGAAATTGGTATAATCTTGTGTATAACTTTCTTTTCTTGATCCAATTGTTGACTCTCACGAAAAGGAGATGCAACTGAATCTGACTTAGGTTTTGCTCGTTGGCTGAGGTCTTTGTTGTACTGTGTTACATACTAAATAGAACAATAAATTTTAAGATGATTAGCTAAGAAGATGTTTTCATCCATTTTACGTTGTTATTAATGCCAAAACTATTGCTACATTATTCTTCTTATCAGGTTTACTTTACTATAACAGGTTTACTATAGTGACATGACTGAGTTAGCCTTCTTTCAAACATTTATTTCACACACAGAAAGTTTCTGAAGTTGGACAACATACAACAAAGGCAGTTTTCCATTTCACAACTGCTTCAATGGCATTTACGTAACCTCAAAGAATTGTTTTTGGACAAAATATAACTTCCCTTGTAGTTTTGACCGCAAACTTTACTTAATTTGTCTTCAAAACTACCAGGCAATATCACTTGATTTATAAATGATTAGTTCAACCGTAAACAAACAGGTACGCATAGGTCCATAACAACTCCAATCTCCAAAAACAGGAACTCAACTTTTTGCATCTTTACAAGATTTAAGTGATTTTCGTACTAGCACTTAAACGAATAATAAAAGTAATTTAATTTTACGTTTCCCAGCAGGAGATGAGCACTCCACTTCAAAGGCACAGAAGGCTCCACGAGGAAGAGGACACGCTGAGCACAAGGCAGTACCTGTGCTGCAGCGACCTTCCTCCAACCTCAGCTGTTTCAGATCCCATGTGCTTAACTCTGATGCAATGCACAAAAGGAGATGCTTGGACTTGCCTCAGCTTGCCAGATAGGAAATTTGTTTTTTTTCAACCAATCTCCAGTTTGACTTGCCACATGAGACAAAGTTAATCAAGGAATGAGAAACACGGGATAAGCACACTCCTTGACTTACCATTCGTTTGAGAAAGTTAAAGTACTGAAACGTGATCAATCTGTCATTGGCTACTCGGCACAGATGCACAAACTGGCATGGTACTTGCCGTATTCCTGTTTTCTTCAAGTGCCAAATAAATAAACCTATTAAAAGAAAAAAAGGAGAACATTAGGTTCCGGCTCTGCCCCTGGATTTGCTTGTAATTCAGCCTCCAGCACCTGTTGTCTGCTGGGACGTGACACCACCACAAATGGGAACCTGGACAGGGGGAGCCACATTTGTGGAGTCCTACTGAAGAAACCGAAAGTGCAGGTTGCTCTAATGGTTTGCAGTTTTTCTTCCTAATTTCCCAGCTCCCCACAGACACGCTTTTTTAAGCTTCTCTTCCTCCTCCACGACCCCGCAGCTCTCTCAAGTGCGTGCATCTCGGCCACACAGCATGAGCAGCGCTTCAAGGAAGCAGCTGCCACAGGGCTGCAAGATCACACCAAGGCCACCCGTACCTGATGTGACACCCATGCTCCTTTATTTTATTTTAAGAAAACACCGCTACAAACCAACCACCCCACGACACCACCCGACCCCGAAGGGCACCCTCAGCCCCAGCACTCCCCGCGGGGACACCCCTCATGGGAGCCGGCCATGCCCGGGGACACCCGGCGTGCGCTCCCCACCCTTCTCCCTGCCAAAACCAACCGGCCCCGCTGCCCCCAGAGCCACCCCAGCACCGGCCCGGCCCGCGGTACCTGCCAGCGCCCGGGGCGGGCTGCAGCGGCGGGCGGCGCTCATGGCGCTGCGCTGCTCCCGCCGCCCTCTCCCCTCAGCTCCTGGGCGCCGCCATCTTGCGCGCCCCGGCCCCGGGACGCCATCCGGGTCGGCGCTTCCGCCGCCGGCTGAGGGGAGCCCGGCCCCGGGGGCGGGAGGGGAGCGGGGAGCGAACATTGCTGACCCTCGGCTGCCAAAGAACAGCCCAGATCCCTGCCGGGGTACACAATCGGCTTGTTTCTGGCGCTGGTTATTAAAATATTAAAATCTATTTATTTTTTTTTCTACTGGATCGCAGTGTTTTTATTAAAATTCGCGGGCTTAGCGCGCTGGCAGTGACAGGAGGAGGGTGCCGGGGGAGGGGGGAGGTCACAAAATACTTGTGAAACAACCGAGTAAGGGGTAATTAAAAAGGTAAATGTGGCAGACAGGTCGGTGAGGACACGGAGTCTCATTCCCCAAACTACCTGAATATTAAAGATCATAGAAATCATAGAAAATCATAGAATCATTTCGGTTGGAAAGGACCTTCAAGATCCCATGGCTTGGTTAAAAACAAACAGCAAAAACACTTGTATTCACCTGCCAAGGTCACTTGGAAATTGGGATTAGTTTTCTAACCCGCTCGGTTTCAGTTACACGCTGCAGGAGGTCGGATTTAGAAGAGGGATACTTCCCAGAGGGTCCTCACTGAAGGCATCCTCCCTTGTACCAGTGCTGGTGCTCCCTGGATCCTTCTCCAAGCAGATTCAACTTGCTAACCTGAAAGGAAAAAAAAAAAAAAAAAAAAGTACTTATTTTGCTGGGTTAACTGTTTGCACCCACACTGTGCAGGGGCAGATAGGCTGAAAGCTGGTACAAGGCACGAGGAGGAGGCCTCTGCTGTGCTCCAACCAGAAAGGCAGGGGAATGGTTGGGACTGCTCAAGCTGTAAAGCGTAATTGCACCCCCAGGCACCTTTAAAATGTTTTCTCTTAAGAGTTTAAGTTCAGGAGATGTAGGCTATAAGTCACTTAAATGCTTTAGAAAATCATTCTCAATATTTTAACATGGAAATCTGCCTCAGACCCATCTTCCTCCCGGGCTTTCATTTCTTTATAGTGCTTAAATTCATGCAAAAGTCATCTTAAATCATTATTAGGAAGATAAAATGAAAACACTCACTTTAATTCACCAAGAATATCCTACTTTGAAGCATTTATTTCCACTCTGCTTCTATTTGGGGAGCTGGGGAGAAATTAGGACTTCACATTTCTTACAATTAATAACCTGTTTTACTCTGAGTTCTCATCACTCAGCATATATCACTTGGCAGTTCCTGTTTGCATCTCCAGTTTTTGTAACTACCACAGGTTTGGTCTCAAGTTAAATTTACACCTGCAAAAACAAAATAAACATCACATAGCAAACACACAATGGCTACACAGAGGGCTGGAACGGCTGGTTGGTTTTAGGGCACTTCGGGTCACAGAGAAAAAGGGTGAGGTAGCCAAAGGTTCCGTGTCAGGGCTGAGATTTAAGGTTTGGTAATTTTCATTGCCTTTCACTTGGGCAATAAATTGCACCCCTGTAGAGAAGGGGTAAAACACTACTTTTCTAATTAAGGAGAATGTTATCCATGGGCCTCCAGGCAGAGAAATGCCTCCTTATGAAACGATAATGATGATTTAAGGAACACAGAATGTCACACATCCGTTTGGGTTTAACCACTAAAGTTACTCCTTGGAAAAAAAAAAAAAAAAAAAAAAAAAAAAGGATTTTTAGTGAACACAAGTATCCAAGCGTCAGAGTTACATTTCAGCCTAAGATGGCTGCACAGGCTTTGGGTCTTGTTAGCAAGGCGTTGGGTCTGCAGAGTGCTGATTCTGCAGAATCTGCCTCCACGAAGTACTGAACGCTCCAGCAAGCGCCAGGCACCGTAACAAATCATTAAAAAGGGCACGTGGCACTTCCAGGGAGCTCTCAGCACCTTGCTCACTCGGGTCCCCCCGCCTCACCCCCCGGGCAGCATCGCAGCAGGACTACCTGCAGGCTGCAGGAGCAGCACCCTGCCTGTCTCAGGGCTCCAAGGCCAAGCACTGCTGGGGTGCAGCGATTCCCGAGTTCTCTCTGCTAATTGCCGAGATGGGCAATTGCTCCGTACCTATTGCTACTTCTCCACGGTTATAAAATAAACACCGCACCTAGAGGTCCGTTTTCAGGGTGATGCAAGGGGTGTTTAACCACGCGACTCCCATTAATGTTAATTACAGAGCACATATTAACAGCGTTATACGATCCTTTTTCCTATTAGCACTATCATAAATCTGATTGGTGGGGCTTAATTAGATCTCAGCAGCATAATGCAATAGTTTGATACACGAAAGGGCAAATTCATGGAGACAGCATACTATTATTATACTTTAATCTCAAAATCTCTCCTTCTCTTACTCATAACACCAACAAGGCTTCTTGTAAGATTGATTTGTTGTCAGAAAATGATTTAAAGACCGACTGTAAAAATATTATATTTTCCTTGCTTCATAGAATGCGGCATTGATGTTAGAGCTCCACAGAGACTCGATGTACTTTCAGATAGGGAACTTTAAAAGCCAAGTGCAAAATAAATAAGATGGCATCCTGCTGTTATTGTGGTAACCTTTACAGATCATTTCAGAGCTATGACTGTTGCGGAGTTCAGTAATACACCATGTGGGAAGCTGTAGCTTTGTGGACTTCTACCCCTTTTAGCTTAAGCCCCACTGTATTTGCTTTGTTGGGACCCAGCTGTGGTACGTAGCAGAAGGAATGGTGTCCAAAGCGAAGGGCGCAGGATTTTATAGCTATATTCTCCCTGCTGAGATCTCCTGGAGTCAGAGCTGGTCCCAAACTCAGAGGCTGAGAAACTCCCAGTGATGCTGATGACCATTTAAGTAGTTCATTGTGTCACCCGTAATGGGATAGATTTGTGATTTTCCACAAATGAGCATTTGTGGTGCACAAGCATTACATTGATGCACAGATGTGTTTTGGGCTTGAATGAAGAAACCTCTCAACCAGAAGCAAAATGTACTGGTTCCAGCCGAGAGCCTGAAACATGCCAGTTCATTGCTGTTAAAGCCTTGCGCTCAGCAAATAACTCTAAGTGGTGTGTAGCGGGTTAAAAAAATATAATAAATAAATCAAAACCCCTAACCCCTCCCTCCACCCCAGTCCCAGTGCTCTGGAGTAGCTGAAGCTTCCAAGAGCAAATGAAAGAGTTGTCCTGGTAGATCAGGGCTCAGTAGCCTTTCCGAAGGGGTGTGCCAGACTGGTTTCTTTCCCCAGGCAGAGTTCAAATATACCGTAGGAAATCAGCAGAAGCTCAAAACTGCTGCCTCTTCCCAGCTGCCAAAGGTGGCCTCGTGCTGACCCTGTGGTATGCCGTTTTTGGCAAGCCTGTATGGCTTGCTCACCACCTGCAGTGGACTCTGAGCTGTAATTGCTTCCTTCGGTTAAAGGACTTGCAGCCTTTCCATGGTAGAGCTTCGCTGGGTGCCTGGTGTAAGCTCGGCTCTGATCCAGTTCGGAGCTGCTGTCAAGCCTGGTGCAAACCTGCAGGCAGTGGGAAGTAAGCAGGGACGAAGTGAGCAGAGATGAACCGTGCCAAGGGAATCACCCCTAAACATGGTGAGACCTAGAGAACAGAGAATAGTTCGGCTGGAAGGGACTTTTAAATATCAAGTCCCACTGCCTGGCCATTTCAGGGCTAACCAAAGGTTAAAGCCTGGTACTGAGGGCAGTATCCAAACGTCTCCTGAACACTGATGGGCACGAGGCATCAACAGTCTCTCTAGGAGTCCTGTCCCACTGTCTGACCACCCTCACAGTAAGCAATTTTTTCCTAATACCTATTCTGAACCTCTCCTGGCACAGCTTTGTGCCTTTCCCTCATGTTCTGTCACTGGTTACCTGCACTCTGGCAGCAGAAACAAGTTCACAAAGGAGCTACACAGCCCCCCACGACCTCCCATCCCATCTGCCATCCCTTCCTAACTCACCGAGACATTGCTGTTCCTGACAGGCAGCGATGCCCCTTACAGTTCTCAGCCAGCATCAACAATAGATTTTTCCAGCAGCCCTTTGCCCAGAAAATAACCCTCTGAAGAAAAGAACCTGTGTCCTGTGCTTTTTCAGCTGAGAATTGCTGCCTGAATATCTGCAGACCCTGCTTTTTTTTTTTTTCATGCCTCCTTCCAGAGGTCTTTCTTTTCCTGGAAAATCTATGTGAAATTCCCAAGCTGCCTAGGACTCAAAAGATCTAATAAAAATAAGATTTATTAAGAGCAGAGGGAGGAAATCAGATTAAAACTGAAGAAACAGCTTGCATAACTGATCTCTTATACTCAGCAAATGCTCAGGAAGTGCTCGGTGCACACATTAACCGTTTTGTGGAAGCCCTCTCCACCCCGGCAGCCAGGCGAGGCGGGCGGTGGGCTGCAGCGTGTGTCTGCTCCGCAGCCATGGCCATTAGCTGCACAAAGCCCAGCAGAGCACGCCCGCAGCTTCTCAGCACCAGATGCAAAGCTGGGTTTTGCTGACCCGCAATTAACCCCTTCTGCCTCCCTGACCCCAGCAGATGCCATTGCTCACTGGTGCAGGCTGAGACCTTCAGGATTCCTGCTCTCCTACCTTTGCCCATTGCTATTTTCTTCTCTCCCCAGGTCATGCTTTGCTACCCCATCAGCCCACTGCCCTACTCAGGTCCAGCTTTGGCTTGGCTTAAACCCCTGCACTTTGCAGGACTCCTCTTCTGACTTGTTTTTCTCCCTGGGTAGCATTTTGCCCAGGTAGGCAGCGCTCCCCCCACAGCATTTACCTTCAGGGACATGACGGCAGCACCCACCTGTGAGTGCCTGATCCTGTCCTTCTGCGGGGGCTACCTGAGCGTGATGATGCCCCATGAGCCAAGCTCCAGGAAATGCAGTTTCAGCTTCCTCCTCAATCCAAACAGTGCTTAAACAGTCCTCAGATCAAACAACGTGGACTCCAGCAGGCAATTTTTATGCTCTACTACCCTCACTTGGATGCTTTTGCATCCTTGAATGAAGGTTTTGGACTGGTTGGCCCCACCAGCCCCATTAGCCAGGTATCTCCCTGCTTACCCATTGCTGAACCCAAGCAGGACACGTCTCTCTCTCTTCTGCTTCCACCGGTACAGCTTCTATACCTACAGTTTCTTCTGCTTCATGGAAGACCTCTCACCTTGCCTAGCTTGACGGGCTGCTACTTCATAAAATCTTCATAGCTTCTTCTGGCAATTTTTCCTATTCTTTCCCCAACATAAAACAAAGAGGGAGCAAACAGATTTTGTCTGACATCTCAGTGCACACCCTACGTGGTGGATGCAGTTTTGCTCCATGTTTGTTGCCACCCCAGCCAGGTGGGCAGGGATGCTTGTGCTTGGAGGGTCGGGCATGGAGATGGCCACCACGAGACAAGCACTGAGAAACGTTCTGCAACATGCCAGTGGCTGTGAGCCCTGGCCCTACACGTGCAGGAGCCTGCGTGGCCGGCTCCTGGTTGTCCTCAGGAACCTTGTCCTCTGAACCCACAGGTGTAGGTCCTGCAGGCATCTGCCGTTCCCTGGTCGGGGATGAACAATTTGCACTGCCTCAGCTACTGCCCAACCCAGCGAGTGAGAAGGCAGCAAAACCACGCCGGGATATTTACAAATTATGTTTTATAATTATATGTCAATGTGGATTCTGGACTTTCAAATAATTCAGCTCGAACTTCGAACCGCTTGATCCGCACATCTGCGTGCTTCATCTTGAAACTTAAGCCCCAACTGGCTGTTCCTGAAATCAGTCGATACCTGCCACTGCTGCCTTACACCGGAGCTGAATCAGACCCAGTGCTCGTGCATCCCTGATGAAGTGTCACCATGCCACCAGGGTGAGCAGGGATTCCTCAGTGGGAACGAAGCCCCACTGGACTCCGTCCCTGCCCACAGGGGGTTCGGTGGGTGCGTGGGACACGTCCTGTCCTGCAGGACCCACAGCTCAGCTCCCTGTAACAGCAGCACAGCCAGCTCAGCAGCTCGCCTCCTTCGGCTCACAGCCTTCACAGCTTCCCAGCGAATCTCCCGTTCTGCGTGACTTCCCTCTGCCCTGCACTATTTCCAGCCTTTATGTAAGAGGCATCGCAAGCCACTTAACGCTAGTTTGTTTGGACAGTTGCTCTGCAGCAGAGTTTGTTGGATTCAGCAGAAATGCCTTCTGCTGTCATAGCAGCACCAAACACGGACGTGCAGATGACTGACTCGCAAGGGTAACGGCACTCCGGAGCCCTGCAATTATGCACAGCGCTGCTATTATATAATTGATCCGGGGATTTCATAAATTATTCTTTTTATAGTTTCTGAGAACACCCAAAGTCAGGTTAGGGAGAGCTTTAATGCCCACTTTCCTTGCCAAAAGCACATTGCTTTATCTCATGACCTGGCGGCTCCAGGAGCAGCCTTGCTCCTGCCCAAAGCTGCCCGCTAGCCGGGGTGTCTGACCGGCAGCACTTCTGCCTGCTTTTCTGCCCACCTCATCCTCGCCTCAAAGAACTGCAGGTGCAGTGACAGCAGATCCTGGTAGAAATAACATAATCCCGGCTACAGATGCCATTTATTTTTTAAAAGGGCGTGAGACGGAGCTGCCAGCTGGAGGGTGCACAGCAGGCAAGGGCTCGGTCCCCTCTGTGTCACCGCTGCTCGCCCTGCCTTGCGTGGCACGCAGCCAGGCTCGTGGTGCCATCTTCTCACATGGAAGCAGTCAAGCAAAGTTCAGCCTTGTTATTGCGTGGATCGAGCCCTCAGGATAACCCGTGGTGCTGTGAGAAGCACCCTGGTTGCTACCCAGTGTTGCTGGGTTTCTGTCTGGGTCAGGGCTGCATCAGTGGACCCGGCGCAGTCCAGGCACAGCGTGGCAGCCAGCGCCGCCCTCCAGCTGTGGGACATCACCAAGCCATAACCCTCATGGGCTCTTCTCCCCTGGCACTGCCAGACAAACCACGGCCTCAGGGCAGGGGCAATTCCTCGCAGGCAGGAGGTCGCCTGCATCCCTCCCTCTCCTGGGTGAGAAGCCAGACAAGTCCCTCCTAGGAGGAGGGTGAGAAGCTTCCGTGTTTCCCTCACTGTGAAGGAATCACTGGTTCATGTTTTTCTTCATTAGCGTGTGGATCAATTTAGTTTCTGAGCCCCCAGTAAGAACTAGGGAAGGGAGGGGTGGGAGAGATGCCTCAGCCCTGCTGCCTCCCCCAGCACCTGGCAGCCTGGGACGCCAGATGGCCAAAAGAAATGATAACCTCACTTGTGTTTCCAGTTGATCTTTACATCACAAAACGCACCTAAAACACAGCAAAACTCTTTTGCAGAGAAATACTGTGGGTGTCCTATTGATTGCAAACTCCACCGGCTCCACGAGACAAGGGGCCAGAGCAGCCTCCTGAACTTGATGAAACAAAGGAGATGAGAGCAAGAGGATGTCTTGATTACAGAAGAGCAGAACGCACAGCCTCCTTATTTATGGGCAAGACGTTCAGGGAGTCAGAGCTGTTATAAATCATGCAGCCAAGCAGTCATTTTTTGTGAAGCTCTCACATCCCAGACCAACTAACCATGCTCATATTAGCCTCAGCAGTTGACAACCATAGCAAAGAACTCGCAGAAAGGATAACATTTATGAACATATCAAAATGATTCATAATGGGCTATTAAAAATAGCAAGAGATGAAAGAGGCAGCCCACAGATAAGCCATTCTGAGATCCCCAGTAATTCAGAGCACTGTTTTAAGAAGTCAAGTTTTAGCTATCACAGACCTGTCCCTGCTGCTCTGCAGATAACAAGGTGGGCTGTTCCCAGCAGGGTGAGGGCTCTCCTCCACCCAAGGCTCTTTATTTCACTCTGGCAGCTATCACACAGCTATTGAAAAAAGCTGTGCATAACTCACACCCACCTTCCGTCTCCACTCTGCCAAGTGACAAGGCTGAGCACACGTCGCGCTCAGCCTTATTTTCCGTAGGCTGGCTCTGCGCAGCGCTCGCATATTCCAAGGGTTAATTTTGGCAGCCCAGGGTAGCTGGTCAAGTACAGCGCGCGCACCCCCTGGGCAGTTTTCGTAGCCTGTCAGGCACTTGTTAACACACTAACCCATTCATTTTTATTTTTTTTTATTTTTGGATGAATTTGTGGCATGTTGGACAAGAGCCAGAGGCTGAGCCGGGAACAATATTTATTTATATCTACACACAATAATTCATGTCTGCCCAAATCACGGACTTTCCCTAATCCGCTGTATTTCAAAACATTTGCAGTTCTCTCAGCCGATTAGCAGTGGCTTTGCTTGGCCCGATCGAGTGGAAAGAAACGTAAGACAGCGAGTGCAGCTGAATGCTTTGATTCACTGATAGAGGTTGAATGTTCGGCCCCGGCTGCTCCACCAGTCCCTAAACTAAAGATCCTTCTAGGTGTAAAGAGCCGCGTTTTGTGCCATGACAAGGCACGCCGAGCATCCAGTCCTTGTTCCAGTCCTTTGCTCTGCTGTAGCAAACACAAAACACGGTGTTTGGGATGAGGAGGGCAGCAGGGCACGGAGCTACTGAAGGTACAAAATGTCCCGGATACATGTAAAAGGAAAAAGGGATTAAGAAAGGGAGGAAACAAAAGAGGATTCAGAGGTTTGTTAGGCAGGTTTGGAAATTATTTGGGGAAAATGCAGCTTGGATGCAAACAGGTTTAGTGTCAAGTGTAACTGGGATGAGAGAAGCCTGCTGAAACCAACCCCACGTTTGGGTATGACCACAACAGGATGCTGTGCCTGGACGGAGGGACTGGTGACTGTGTAATAGGAAGAGCCACTTATCAGCCCGGGCCTTTCACGGCCTTTGGAAGATCAGTGGCATCAACACCGGCTGCAGGGAGGGGAATGAAGCACAGAGAGGGGACAGGATTGCTCCGATTCACCCGAAATACCATGAAGAGACCTCCGTGCCCTGTCTGCCAGACCATTTGCCCATATGTAAGTGCCTGGGCTTAGGGACAAGGGATCGGAGACAGATCAGGAATCAGGGGAATCAGAGGAATCAGAGGAACCAGAGGGCTGCCCCGACGGAGCTCGGAGAGGGGCCAGACCCCCTCGCAGGGTGCCGTCACCCAGGGGGGAGCTGGAGCAACCCCGCAGGGTCTCACAGAGGAAGAGCTGTACTTTTCTCTTGCCGATAGCAAATGTGGGGACTGAGTTAAATCAGCCTGGCCGGTCTCACTGCTTAACCAGCCTTACATTGGTTTGTCAAGGCAGTGTTTGTTTTCAAAACAGCCAACATGACTTATTTATATGTGGTGGTAGCCCGGGTCCTTTTGGTCACATATTCACCTTCAGGAGACCTTTGTAATTTTCCAGGCAGCCCAAACAGTCCGTCTTCAGTATTCCCAAACTGATTCTTTCTTATTGCTGTAAAAATGAGTGGAGTTTAAGCCTGATTTTTTTTTTAATATATTTATATTTTTACATGGGGAAACTTGAAGGGGTTGCATCATTAACAGCAACTTTATCTGACCTGAATTTGGCTACTGCATAGTTTAAATCCCTCAGGGGACCTTCATTACTCCAGCATTAAGGAAGCTTTCGGAGTTTTAAAAATCCTCGTAAATGTTCTTCTCAGAACCACACTATAAATTCAGCTTTTTATCACAAACTTTTCCCCTCCCTAAATAAAAAAAAAAAAAATAACTCTCAACTTATTTCACTCTATTTCATGACAGTGTTTTAAAATAGAATTTAATACTCACGAAGTGCTCTGCAAATCCAAGTTTCGTGTATGCGGGCTGTACCAAGGGGGGATGTTCTGAATTTGGCCAGGGCTTTTTTTTTCTTTTTCTTTCTTTCCTATTCTCACTCCATATTATTTGAATTAAACTCCACATGTATGCCAGCAGAGATCAAGATCGGCTGGCACTAGGTGCTATAGAAATGCAGGACAAGGCACAGCCCAGCCCACAGATAACTAAAATCGAGGAGATAAAGCCAAGGGAGGGAGGGAAGTGCTCCTGTCACCACTGTGCACACCTGGAGCAAGGGCACGAAGGAAGGAGCACCCACACCAGTTATCTCCAGCACTGGTGCAGGAGCCTGGGTGCGGGTGCAGGTCCCTCCTGGCAGTGGGTGCTCCCAGGGGAGCGTACATCCAGAGCCTGAAGGGGGGGACATGGGACAAGACCCTGGTGATGGAAGGAAGCTGCCCCAACCTCCTGACCCCTCCAGGTGGGTAATTGGCCTGGTGTTGGGCTCGGTGGAGAGCTGCAAGAAGCAGCAGTTTGTTTCATTAAGGCACCGGTGCCAGCTACGTGGGCTGGCGTTGGGATGGAGAGGGGGTGTGAGGTGAGTGTAAGGTGTGCTGCTTGCACTAACATGCCCGTGAGCCCCAGAGAGATGGGGTTTGTTGAGAGAAGGGCTGTTAATTACAGGTATTCAGAGATGACATCCAGTCTGAGATATCCGTATCCCCAAGAAACTGAAATGATGCCCATCCCAGTTAGAAGCATGGCAGCCCATCGCCTCTGAAATGAGGGCTTTGGGGGGACAGAGGAGAGATTTGGGCCCCCAAAGGTCTCCAAGGAGAAACAAAGTGCAAGAGCAAACCACTCCATCGCTCTGCTGGAGAGCGCAGACACAGCTTCGCCCTGCTGCACAAGCCTGGTGCAAGGTGTGCACACGAGGGCACCAGGAAAGGACCCCGAGGCAGCTGGGGGACGTGCAGAGACCTCTCTGATTTTTACTGTAAGGAGTTAAAACTCAGCTTTCTTTTCATTTCTTCACCCCCGTCCTTTACATACACTTGTAATTGTTTCTCTATTCTAGACACTATGAATAAAAGCCAGTCAACCAGGCATGCAGAGTTTGGTTCCACATTAAATAACTGTAATAGGAACTGATTATTTCCCCATGCAGTAGCGCCAAAGGTCACCTCTGTTTACATTTTTCTCCTCTGCAAAGTCCATGGGTGGAAGCTCGCTCAGTTACAAGCTCCCTTCATGCACACTGTGCTGCTGTCCTGGCACCCATCGCCCCATCCCCGGGGCTCCCCCAGGTTCAGCCGTGGCTGCTGCGTGCCACATGGGGTCTGTGTGTGACAACCCCAACCCCTCCACCAGTGGCTCCAGGGGGGCACAGAGTGGACAAAACCTGGAGACCCAACCCCACGGGTCTCTGGTTTGGAGGCTGCTCGGCTCTCAGGGTTTGTTCAATGGCTTGGAGGTTTTTTCCCTATTAGAGACAATGTGAGTGTCTCTCTGGGCTGGCTGGGGACATGGCACGGTGCCACCACTCGCTGGCTCTGCAAGGGGAACTCCTAAGGAACCGCCTGCACCGTGCCTCTGCCCCTTATTTTTCTTGCTAATAACTTTATTTTTTTTTTTTTAATGGAGCTCAGCAGCTCAACCATCTCAGAGCCACCATTAATTTTATCTTCCCCCTAATTTATCGATGGAGCTCCTTTCTCCCTTGCCTTTTCTGTCCCCGTGATATATTTCCAAAAGCCGGCCGGTGCCCACGGGAGCAGTCTCTCCCCCCAGCTCCCCGCCAGCCCCACACATGGCCCTGCACCCGTTCCCTGCCCTGCCACAAAGCCCCCGCTGTGTCTGGCCATCCCAGCACCTCCCTCATTTGCTTTGTTTGCTGCTCCTCACACGCTGCATTTTTCTCTTTCCATGTAAAAACACAGCTGAGGCAGGGAGTGCACCGGCACCAAGCGGTGCAGCCCCTTCCCATGGGGTCGGGCTCCCTGGCTCCAGCTCCGCTCTGTCCTACTTTCTCTGCCCCACCACTCGCTCCTTCAGTTGGAAAAATCACCCTTCCTAGTACATCGTGTTCACCAGACTCCTTGGTTTGAGATCTAAAAGCTTCTTTTACACCTGCATTACAGTGTTGTAACAGTTGTGTTCATTTAGTATTAATTAGCAGTGCTGCAATTTAGCTCAGTCCTCGAGGACACCGTCACGGCCCAGTTCTGGCAGCGATGGCACGCTGGCACAGCAGGAGGCAGCCCCTGCCCCAGAGCCTGCGCTCTGCAGATGAGTCAGGAGGGAAATCTCATCCTCCCGTTACACCAGGGGAAGGAAACCGTGCAGAGATTTGTGGGGGAGTTCGCAATCACCTCTGATGGTTAAGCTCCCACGCCGAGCCCAGCTCCGTTAATCCTGCCCAGGTGGGTGGCGCAGGGAGGTGCGGGTGCCACGGGGCATCCGCATCGTTTCCCATCACATCGGTGCCCCAGTGCCATCAACTTCATCCTGGGCATCAGCCACTGGCTGCAGAGACCCCACTGCTCACACCTGCCCCACCAGCACCTGGCGGGGAGAGGGGCTGCCTGTGCCAGCATGTGAGAATTTCCCAAATGCAAGGAAGGTTTTGGTTTGCTTAACTTTTAGATTTCTCTTTTGGATCCATTGCCCATCCTGCTGAATGATTTCATCCTTTCTGAACCAAATTGCCTCCCTGCTCAACGACCTTCAGTTAGGACAAGGCGTCCCACGGCTCACACAGAAATCCCAGCAGCAAACGGAGAGTGGCTGAATTCCTCGTTGCTCTGCAAGATAAGCTGTAGGCCAGAGCCAGAGGAGATTAATACCTGCTCCAGACGGAACAGGAGGTTGTTTCTTAAGCGGGTAAAAATGGGTTCAAACATGTGGGTGTGTGGCCAGATGGGCTGGGTGTGCTGGGAGCACACACTTGCTATAGAAACTTAAATATTTTCTTTAAGGCGCAGCAACTATTCGTTTCAAAAAATAATGCCATCAGGTTTCTGAATCTAAACAGGAACAAAGAGCAGTACATAATGGTCAGTACCTGCAGCTGCAGGAAGTGCCTCGGCAGCGCCTGCGGTCCCACACAGCT